ACGGAAACAGACTGCCACATCTTTCTCCAGAAGAACAGTTGTTGGGTTTGAACCTCTACTTTTTGGTTAGCAGCCAAGTGCTTAACCACTGTGCCACTACGGCTCCTTTTTAATCTTAGTGATCATGAAACCTGATTTTTAAGATGATCAAAGGGTGTAGTTTTGAAATCAATCTGCTCTTCATCTTACTATACAGAAATGATAAGATTTTCAGGATTACAAGAGGTGTGCCTGTAACCTCCATACTTGTAATTCAGAGCAGGATAAATCTATGTGAATCTTCTAATCCTGCCAGAAATAGTGTATCTGAATGGTTGTTGCTGGAACAGAAATGTTTTCTCTAACTGTGGTGTGTGATGCACTAATGGAGACAGCAACTCTGTCTCCTGGAAACATCCAAGGTTTATTGATTATGGGGAGCCTGTTTCCCCTCTTGAAGTTAGGGAAGCAGCACTTAAGGAAAAGGAAATTCATAATAATGGGTTTCATGCAGCAGCTGTAAGGCTCTAACGCTTCTCGTACTATTCTCTCTGGTTGAAACGTATTGTTTTAAAAATCTATCATTTCAATTTATAAAATGCACAATACGTCATGTCTTACAGATTTCATTTGCTATTTGTTTCTTATAGGTTAATATCTTTCACAAATCTCACCTCAGTGGTAATACTTTTACTTAACTAATGTGTGAATTAGTTGATGAGTATATGAAGTGAAAGTAGTAATGGCTGAGTTTCTACTGTCCACTATTTTATCTCGTATTAGTGTTTCATGTCCTATAGTTTAGGGCATGATATAAGTTGTTTAGTAATTCTTGCGATAGATGCCAATGTATTTTGTTCCAGCTATAGAAACAAATGTCATTCTAATATTGAGGCATTCTTGCATTCATGAAATCCAACAAGGTCATGAGGCAGGTTCGTATCATATTCTACGACAATCAATAAATCTATGTATTTTTTAAGATCTTTAAATCATTATCCATAATTGATGTTGGCCTATGGAATAATTTTTTTTAATATCTATGGAAACTTGTTACAAACAACATTATAAAATAAAACATCACCAACGTAAAATAAAATGACAAGCATCAACAGAAAACTAAAGACAGATCTGGATTATTGGAAGAACACAACTAACTAGCTTGATTACTAGAGCATGGTGGTTAAATGCACTGTTTTTGTAACCAAGTCAGCCAGGTTCAAGTCCCCATTCTTCACCTACCCACTTCTCTGTGCTTAAGTTCTCCTTATCTTTATAATGAAAGTAATAGTAGTGACTGCCTTGGAAATTTGTGAAGAATAAGGACGTTACCACATGTACAGTCTTCATAGCGGTGATTCCTACATAACAAGTACTCTTTAAAGGTTATACATCCAACTCTTGGAAAACTTTTCATGAAAGAAAAACTAAGTCAATGTTTCTAAGTGGGAATTAATCGTAGGTGGAGCACAGTGGATTTCAGTTGACATGATACATATGGCCCATGTCTCAACTTCCCATGCAGCACCCTCTGGCTCTTAAGACAAATATCAGTCACCAGGAACTGAAAGAATATCCTTCAGGGATTTGATAATAGGGATGCTTCTTATTGCAGACAACAGTTGGTATCCTGGGGAATTTTTCTCTTCAACATTATATCTTTCTTTACTTCACTAAATGTAGGTTAAGGTCTACAGACTTGATTCTCAGGCACCTGACTGTAGCCAACATGTTGGCCAGTCTCTCTAGGAGACCATGGTAGCTTTGGGTGGAAAGAATTTCCTTAATGATTTTGGATGCAAACTCATTTTCTATTTTCACAGAGTGGGCAAGGGAGTGTTTATTGGCAGCTCCTGCCTCTTGAATATCCTCCAGGACATCACCATCAGCCCCAGGAACTCCAGGTAGGCAGAGCTTAAGGTGAAAGCTCCCAAGTACGTGGGCTTCTCCATATTCCTGTGCTGGATCCTGCACAGGCTGGTAAATATAATAGTTTCTATTTATGTGACTAACAATTGGAGTAATAAAATCATCACAAAGAAATAGATTTAGGATATTGTTATAGTGAATATTGGCAGAACCACAAGCTCACTGAATGCAGTATTTTTATCATCCCCTGATGTTGTTGTTTGGGACTCATGGTCTGGGCCCATGGCCCCATTATTTTCATCCTGTACAGAAACAAGCAGTGAGTCCAACATATTCATGGGAACATCTTCCCCAGAACCTCCCCTGATTCCAGAGATATCCAAAGCATCCTTGTCCTTGAGTGCCTTCATATCCTTTTACACCCTGTCCTCCATCTTTCAAGTTTGTTTGGCTGTTTTTTTTTTTTTTTAAATATACTTCAGGTGAAGGCTTACAGAACAAATAGTTTCTCATGAAACATTAGTACACATATTGTTTTATGACATTGGTTAACAACACCACAACATGTCAACCCTCTCCCTTCTCGACCTTATTTTTTTGCTGAAAATATACATAGCCAAAGATACACCATTTCAAAAATTTCTACATGCACACTTCAGTGACATCGACTATGCTCTTCCAAATGTGCTGCTATTCTCACTTTAGATGAAGGCTTACAGAACAAAATAGTTTCTCATTTAACAGTTAGTACATATATTGCCCTATGACAATGGTTAACAACCTCACAACACATCAACACTATCCTTACTCAACCTTGGGTTCCCTATCACCAGCTTTCCTGTCCCCTTCTGTCTTCTGGACCTTGTCCCTGGACTGCTGTGCCTCAT